TACAAAACTGTGTTTTGCTGGTACTGATATGGCAGACAATTAGCACTCAGCATATCTTTCGATGTTGAATGAAAAATAAGGTTTCTCCAACTGATCTTTAAGATTTCGATGAATTATTTCAAATAGATGTTTGTCAAACGACCGTGAATCAATTTTCGTGGTTTATCATTCATTTAGATTCGTTTACTTCGACTTGATATCTTGTTTCAGCAAAACACATCTAAAATGAATAATCAGTATAGGGGTTGTTGAGATGGTTAAGTTTTGATTTAGTTCATCAACCGATTGATGTTATACTACCATTAAAAATCTGGATGCACTGGATGGCCGTTTCGTCCTGTTGTGGGACACTTCGGCAGTGCGCATCCACGATCCCGCCCCCCCTCGAGATCCGAACCCAGAGCCTTCAGTCTCGCGCGAACGCTTAACCCACTAGACCACTGAGCCGGTGTCCAATGGTGTTAATGTCTAACCTCAACCAATCCACAAAGTTGCGCAACCATCTTTCATTGTATTGAGGTAAACACCTGTTTCTACCCGAAACGGATTAGCTCCACTGGTTACGGTTTCTCACCACAACTCCGAGAATTTTCTCATGAAGCTAGTCCAGTGCTTCTAGGTTTTCAATGGTAGTCTAACATCAATTAAAATGAATCATTTGTTTCGGATAATATGAAGAGGCGATAAGATGCAATGAGTTATTGTGTGGTTGTGTGATCGGTTATTGTGTTGAAAATCCTGTATCTTGACATTAATTAGTCAAGAATTTGGAAAAAAATCCTCATATTGTAATTAGTAAATCGCAAAATTATCTCCAAGAAAATGGTATTTCCACTATTTCAAGTTGTTTTATCTACTTGGTAAGTATCAGCAGATCATGCTGCAGGTTCTTTTCATTTGTGAATATTTCATTTTTGAATAGCCCTTCTAAATCAGTATTCATCAATCTTTCTCTATTTAATCCTATTTAAATTTCTCCCTATGATGTATGTTATATTCTCCTAATCTTTTCATTTGCTGAATTGTAGCAAGATTAGTTTGATCATGAATATCATACCCGAAAATGTATTATTGTTTAAATGACTTTTTATTTTGTATATCTCGAAAAATCTATATATACATTTAGTTTAAACACATAGTCAAGTACTCTACTCAAAATTTGACTATCAACAATAATTGTTATAAAAATTTTTCTTATTCTATATAATTCAGGTCCTACTGAAGAAGAATTAGAAAAATTTGAAGAAATTAAAGCAACAAAAGAATTTCAAAAAGCTAAAGAAAAAGTTATAGAATCATTATCAGATAGAATTGATAAATATGTTCTGGAACACTTTCGTAAAAATCAATAAATCTATTCAAAAGCAAATGAATACTACTACTACTACTACTACTACTAATAATAATAATAATAATAATAATAATAATAATAATAATTAATATCTTGTGTTTTAATTATAACATTAAGATTTATTCATCTTTTAAAATAAACAAATAACTTTCTATTTAATGATTAAAACAAAAATTTGATTTTGATAATTGATATTTAAATTTTCATTGAAATGTTACACTAATATTATTGTTGGCAATTATTCAAATATAGGTATATGTTTCATTGTATTTCACTTTCATATTATCTGAGTTATATTTAAACAGTTTCTTAATCTCTTATTGAAATAATCAATAATTTTTATTTAGATCAAGTTTCAAATTATAAAAATATGAATTTACAATGGTAATTAATTGTCAACATATAATTCCCATTTTTAACATTAAAATTAAAACATGAAGTTCAGTGAAGGGATCTCTTTTCCTCATGGAATTAGTACTTTTACAAAAACAAAAAAAAATTTTTTCATAGATATATACAATTGTACAGCTTGATAATAAATTTGCTGTGAAGAGATTCCTTCACTGAATTTCGTCTTTTAATTTTAATATTTATTTGTATATATCTTCAGATAATTAGAACATTTTAGTTGTATTGGATATGAAATTAGTATTTTTGACAATTTATCAATTCTGTTAGTTTGATTAAAAAAAAAAAATGCATAACTTGTTTTACATAAACATTTAAGATTTGTAACAAATCTTAATTAATAAAGTGACCTATAGATTTAAACTAACTAAAAACTGGATTGATTAAAGTTAGACATTAACACCATTGGTATACCGGCTTAATGGTGTAGAGGTTAAGAGTTCATGTACGAAACCGATAGGTTCTAGGTTCGAATTTCATGAAGTGGGATGGTGGATGTTCACTACTGAGAATTCCCATACTAGGACAAAACGGGTCGTCCAGTGCTTTTAGGTTTTCCATAGTGGTGGTCTAGCTTCAGCTATTGAATAACTAAAAACTGTCAGTAGGATTTAATATGATTCGCTCTATTTATATCTATAATTTTCCTTTGTGAAAGAGATCATTTATTCTGAATTTGTATTGGACCTCAAAAAATTATGTGGAATCAATCACCTATTGGGTAAGAAGTTTCAAATCTACATGTGTTTTACTTCAGTCACGTCAAATAGTTGTACATGAAACTGGTTGTATAATAAAAAACACTTAACAAATATATATATATATATATATATATATATATATATATATATATAAATTGAAATAAACAAGAAAAGGGATTTTGAAATGCTTAGTAACTGCTAACAAAACTCCAAAAACTAGGTTATTCACAGTATAACTTGTATAAATAACAAGCTAATTGTATCATTTTCCACTTGCGAACACTTTGTGTCATTCATCTCAAACAGTATCATTATAGTAACAATTTTTAGTTGTGTTTCAACATATTGTATAATGAATTTTTGCTGTCATAGTAACCAGTTTCTTATTGTCAAATAAAATACTTGATCTTTAACAACCTAAATTTGCTTATATATCTAATGTTTTTGTCTAAGAATCTACATAAATGCTTATTCGTGAAAATGTTTTTTAATACCTTTGTATCTTATCATTATTCTCCTGAACTTTAATCTAAAATATATTATGTCCCTAAATTTTGTGTTTTTTTTTTACGTATCTATCAACCCTTAGTCCATAATCTTTAATAGTTTCTTTCCAATTCACCATTTTCGTCTAAATTTATTCAATTTTACAATCACTTTCAGAAACTTACTACTCAATCAATATGTGTAATGACATTGATAAATATTCGATTCAAGATTTAATACATCTACATAATATTACATTTGAAAAGATATAATAACAATGTAATACTTTATCATTTTAAAAATCTCATCTACATATCACTTTTAGATCGTCGAATATGTGATACAGGATGGTCCATTGTTGATAAATCTTTTGAAATAGTTCGTTATTGAATAATTGTGAATAGTCGTGTTAAAGTACCATCTCAAATCAAACTGTCTGATATTAATTGACTTCTGGTTAAATAACGAAATTATGAAACAGAATTTATCAGAATTTCAAATCACATCATATTTTTTTTAATCATTGATTGTAATATTAAATTGTAAAAGATTATCTGCATAACGTAAGTGCATGATTTGTTTTATTAATGTAATTCAGAGTTTACATACAGCACATTTTCCAATTAGCCAACAGAAAAAAAACAAAAACAATTTTTGTTCCCATGATAGTTGTGTTTCTATTTTGGATAAAATTGAAATTTAATAATATTCGCTATTTCTAACACGAAAAAGTTAATCCATTTACCCGATGGAGTTACTACCGCTATATATTTTTTTCTTTAAAAGAAAAAATCGACATTATTCATTTCTAATTTCTCGATGGTATCAATGTATTAAATAAACCCTTATATCAATAAAAGAAATTGATTTTCTATTGAAAAAGAAGATCAACAATAAACCATTGGAAATCATATTTACACTACATATATTGTATTGTTTTAATAAGAATTAGGTTTACTAATTCAATGAACATGTTTATTTCATTTTGATCTTATAAAGAAATAATTATTATAATCATAGTGAAGTTTTGTGAAGATTGTAGTAATTTAATAATTAAATTTATAAATCATTTAAATAGCCTTCAGCAATAAGTTCCAGGCCTTTCATGATCTACTCAATGGAGAAGGAACTACTACTATGGAGAGCAACTGGAAAGAGATAAAAGAGGTAATCGCTTCAACATGTCATGAGGTTCTGGGCCAAAAGAAGCACCATCACAAGGATTGGATCACGGTTGATACATTGGATAAGATTCAAGAAAGGAGGAACAAGAAGACAGCAATCAATACCAGCCGAACAAGAGCATAAAAAGCCAAGGCACAAACTGAATATACAGAAGTAAATAAGCAAATGAAGAGGAGCATCAGAACTGACAAACGTAAATATGTGGAAGATTTATCAGTGACGGCGGAAAAGGCTACCCGAGAAGGGAACATGAGACAACTGTATGACACAACAAAGAAACTCTCTGGAAATCAACGTAAACCAGAACGACCAGTGAAAAGCAAGGAAGGCAAGGTAATCAACAACATTGAAGAACAACGAAACAGGTGGGTAGAACACTTCAAAGAACTCTTGAATTGACCAGTTCCACTGAACCCACCTAAAATCGAAGCAGCACTCACGGACCTCCCAATCGATGTTGGACCACCAACAATTGAAGAAATCAGCATGGCTATCAGACAAATCAAGAGTGGCAAACCAGCAGGATCAGACAACATTCCAACAGAGGCACTGAAAGCAGACGTAGCGTTAACTGCAAGGATACTCCACATTCTCTTCAGAAAGATTTGGGATGAGGAACAGGTACCAAAAGACTGGAAAGAAGAACTTCTAGTCAAAATACCTAATAAAGGCGATCTCAGCAAGTGTGATCACTACAGGGGCATCACTCTTCTCTCAATACCAGAAAAAGTCTTCAACAGGGTATTGTTAAACAGGATAAAGGACTCCGTAGACGCCTAACTTCACGACCAACAGACAAGATTCCGTAAGGATAGATCGTGTACAGACCAAATTGCATCTCTACGGATCATTGTGGAACAATCAATTGAATGGAATTCATCGCTCTGCATCAACTTCATTGACTATGAAAAAGCATTTGATAGAGTAGACAGAACAAGTAACAGTATAAATCAATTAAAGTTAGATCATCATGGAAACCTTGAAAGTATTAAATGGATGTTTCGTTCTAGTATTGAACTGATCAGTGTTAATTGCAATACTGACATCTTGCTACTTTAACACTATTAAAAATTGCATAGAAACAAAGAAATTTGTTTTTTTTTTTCTAAATTTTATTTACTAATTAAACCAATGGTTATTTCTTATTTTTATGATACTACAAATATTTCTGAAAATATTAAACAGAATAAAATAACAAGATAAGAAAGAAAGAAAGAAAGAAAAAAGAAAAAAAAAGAAAAAAAAGAAAAAAAGAAGATTTTTTTATTGTCTTTAAATGAATGAATAAATAAAAACAAACATTTTGTTTTTTTCTTTATTATAGAATAAAAATTTTCATTAATAAATTCATAATTATTTGTTAAATTATTAATTAAACTAATAAATTATGGTTTTTTTCTTATTTGATCCAATACATAATTATCAATTTTATCGGATAATGCATTGATCACTTTTGTTCTAACCTGTTGATATTGAGGTGTTTTTTTAATTTGTTCTAATTCGATTTTCTCATTTTGAGGTTTACCTAATTAATATAAATAAATTATTAAAGAGTGAAGATAAACATAAATTGTACTATTAAATTATATAATATCGAGTATAGAATACCAAAGAGAACATTTATCTGTACCATAGATAGTCTCTATGATTTATATCAATTAAATATCAATAGATGAATCAATTTAATATGATTATTGATTTGCATGAAGTTAGGGGGGGGGCGAAGATATTATCCATATTAATATTAAGCATAAACTGCACTAATAAATTATATAATATCGAGTATAGAATACCAAAGAGAACATTTATCTGTACCATAGATAGTCTCTATGATTTATATCAATTAAATATCAATAGATGAATCAATTTAATATGATTATTGATTTTAATGATATGATAGATTAGTGAGATGAGAAATAAGATTTTATTTTTATTTTATCTGCTTAACAAATTTAATTGATTATAAAATTTATGATCGTCTTCTATTGAGAATTCACTGATATTTATTGATAAACATCGTAAAACTAATTAGTCGTAGTTGAATATTTTCATTTAGCTATGAATAATAATTAATGATACATTTAATGCTTATCATCTTCACATGTTGATTTACCTTTTAAATACAATATTACTAATAATCTAGAAATATATTATTGTTTTCAAGTTATACAAATATTCATCAAGATTAGAATGAATAGTTTGACAGAAATTAGGCTGCGAGTATAGAGAAGTCATTATTATGTGAAAATTATATTTGAACTAATTTCAGCAATTGAAATTTAATAATAATTTCAACGTTTCGTCCAATTAACTTGTCTGAACTTCTTCAGAGTAATAATCAGAATCATCAAAAATATATATAGCTTCTTAACAATCATAACTAGATTGTGTTAAACCAATCAAATTTAGATGTTTATTTTTTGTTAAAAGCAATATATTCCTTTGATAATTTTGTTTTTGATTATTACCCTGAAGAAGTCCAGACAAGTTAGCTGGACGAAACGTTGGAATTATTATTAACTTTCAATTGCTGAAATTATTTGAAATATAATTTTCATATATAATGTTTACAAGTTAATTCAAAATTTTCTATGATAAATATATTCAAGTTTTATACAATGATTATTTCCTCAATATTTGAGTAAACTAAATGTAAACATCTTACATGATATAAGATTTAACAGTCATTTATTTTAAGTTATAAGAAATATAATATAAGATTGAAATGAATATGATCCACTATAATTATGAAAATATTATTATATTTCAATATCATTTAAATTAATATTATCCTGTTGTAACCTAAGAACACATTACGTCAGGAAATAGAATCAGATATGAAAACAATGAATAACAACTGGAAAGAGCTGGAAAGGATTGCCCAGGACAGGGTTGGATAGAGAATGCTGGTGAGCGGCCTATGCTCCTTCACGAGGAGTAACAGGCCTAAGTAAGTAAGTAAGTAAGTGTTGTAACCTAATACATTAGTTTAACAATTAGTTATCGCGGGTTGCGGGATCGTGGATGCGCACTGCTGAGGAGTCCCATACTAGGACGAAACGGCCGTCCAGTGCTTCCAGGTTTCCCATGGTGGTCTAGCTTCAATTGATTCATGATTTCAACTATTGAAATTACCAATTCTCCACAAAACCCATTCTAGTAATAATCATCTGCTCACTAGTGACTGACTTCAAGAGATACTCCTGGAGTTCTAGTGAGAAGCCGTGACCAGTGGAGTTCAACAAGGTCTGTTGTGAGATATCAGCTCACTGAAGACAATGGTGACGGTGGCGCAACTTCGTGGATTAGTTGAAGTTAGACATTAACACCGTTGGATGTCAGCCGGCTCAGTGGTCTAGTTGGTTAAGCGACTGGCGCGAGACTGATAGGTCCTGGGTTCGAATCTCGCGGGTTGCGGGATCGTGGATGCGCACTGCTGAGGAGTCCCATACTAGGACGAAACGGCCGTCCAGTGCTTCCAGGTTTCCCATGGTGGTCTAGCTTCAATTGATTCATGATTTCAACTAGTGAAATTACCAATTCTCCACAAAACCCATTCTAGTAATTAGTTATCAGTCTTTAAACATTGAATATCACAACTTGATTGAAATTAATAAGTATACTATTCTGAATTTATAAAGTATATAAAGAGAGAGTAACCAGACAAAATTGGACACATTCAAATAATATTATATAATAAAAGTTAGAAATTATTAAATAATACTGAGAATAACAAATTACTACTTATTACTACTTACCTGGTGTTTTCTGTGAATAAATCACGTTTATAGTAATTAAAAAAAGTGCAAGTAAAAATTTAATCTAAAATTAAATATAAATAAAAACAAATATTATGTTCAGTATTAAAGCATGAAAAAAGAAATTTGATACTCAGAAATAATATAATAAGTTGGTTATGATGGTTTGACAATATGTACTATGTTATAACAAATGATATTAAGTTATAGTACCTAAGTGAATATCAGCTCTAATATTCAACTTGATAAGTCTCAAATAGAATGAAACATACGTCCTGGATTTCACTACTAGCGACCATTCACCTTTGCTTATAACATTTACCAACACTTGTAATGTATCTAATCTGTAAGGGATAATATTTTATGTTATAAGCAGAACACAAGTAAAATGTATTGGAGAAAGAATGACAACATGTGAGTATAGTAAGCAACTATTATGTCGCCAAATGCCCTGGTACGGCCGAGAGTGGGGAGAGTCCGCTCTTCCTCTCGAAATGCTCTCACATGGCCACGCGTATATAGCCTCTACCAGGGAAGTCCTACTCACTGCCTTCTCGTGGCATTACTGTTGTTTACGAAAATGAGAGAATGAAAAGCGAATATCAGTTGCTTTAACCGGATTCCAAACCAATGGTGCACATGGGTTCCAGTATCCTGAAGGAACAAATGGCGTATGAAGCAATCGTTGGTCACCAACTACCATGGGGCTGCATCTCCTAACGATGGTCCACTGCCTTGTGGATCAGACCTTTGGGTCAAAAGTTCGGGGTGTGGCCCCCAAAGAGAACCACCTGCTACGGTTTGGGCACCCGTGCAGTATCACAGCCCTCACACATACCAAATGAGATCTGTGTGGCGCATATATATTTGCTGCCTCCTTGTACCAATATCTATGTGTTCAAATAAATAAATAAATAAATACAAACGATAAATCAAGAAGTTTGTGCAATACACCTGTATTAAATCATGAAAAGAGAAGTATTATAAATCTCGTATAAGGTAATATTCTACCTTAGTGTATATGATATCGATAAACTTACATGCATTGTAGTTTTGAACTGAATTTATGTTCTGTAATTACCTACACTACTTTCTCTTTATATAGTCCACACAAAACTTTTACATTCCTTATATTCCCCTCTTAGTTGATTGTTTTTTTTTTAAATGACATTTACTTATTACGAATAATATTTCTGAAATTAAGATAAAATATTTTCTCTTTTTTCTTTCTCCGTCGTCTACTATTTTTTTTTTGACAATAACAATATATTGACATTTTATTTGTTTTGTCAATATTATTTATTACGTTCACTTTGATCTTTGAATTGTATATTCCTAAGGAATAACAATAACAATCCATGGAAATGAATATAAATGATTGAATAACCTTTTTGTTTTATCTATGTATTCTCTTGTGTAAATCTTTAAAACAAAACAATAAAAATATTATTTATGTAAATAGGAGTGGCTAATCGTTTGTTTGCTTGCTTGTTTGTTTGTTTTATCGACTATTGTTACATTTGGGACAATTCTTATCGTTCTAAGTTTTTGTTCAACTATTTGTCATATAAACTAACGAATGAATTAGTCTACTTTTTTATTTAATTCATGAAGAGATATGATATTTAATGAAAGATCTATTTTAAACTGTAGAATATACTTAAACAAAATTAAAGTGAATTCCTCTTTTTATTGTTTCATTAAACTTCATTTAATATTAGTTCATTATTCAATGTGTTATCATTTCAATAAGATATCCACATAATTAATTCATTGAGATGACTATAGAAAGAATAAGAAAAAATATGTAGGTAAAAATCAATTAAATTGAATGGAAACTTTTGAGAGATTAGTATGAAACTAACAATGATTAGTACAGGTTAACATATGACTTTTTCTCTAGTTTTCGTATTTATTCTCTTGAATATAACAAGAAAGTTTGATTCAATTGAAAGTAATAACATCTTGGTACAAGTTATAGTTGACGACCAATTGATTTTTTAAATGAAACATCTTACTATGCAAATATCATAACTTTTGTATGTAAATGTACTCATTGTTTCTAATGTCAGATTATCCAAAGGGTAGGTCAAGTTAATGATAATATTATGGCATACTGTTTGCAATCTTTGTTTCTGTTTTTTTTTATTTATTCAAAATATTCAATCTTTCTGAATATAAATCATCGCTTAGCTATTCATTTAAATCATTTTCAAGCAGGAATTGACATGAGTAAATCCTTACATTGCAAAACGGAAAATTAGCAGTTCAAGAGCAGAACTGTGATACATATAAATCATAAATCATGATATTCGTACAAACGTGAGTGAATGACTACTAAACATAATAATAAGTGCCTCTACTCAGTTCTTACTGCTACATAGTGTAGTGAACGAGAACACAAGTGGGGTCAATCAGTGAATTTAAAAATACATTCATTGCTTCATTACCATAACAATGACTCTCTGTTCCCGTTCTCTTCGATTCGATTATTTCAACCTTCTACTGTCAGGTTTCCCACTTTCTATAGATATTCCATCCTACTTATGTATGTCGAAATGAGTAGCATACACCACAATAGGATTTTTGTGGTGAAATTATATATGCTATTTACAAAGAAAAATACTTCCATAAAGCAGTAATTCAGTATCGCATAAATATTTCACCACAATGAAACAGCTACAAAATTGCACAATTTTTTATGTACAAATAGTTATTATATATCCTCTTTTAAAGGTAATGCTAGGCAATCAGAAAAGAATTTATATTCACTATCTTCAACTACTACAAAGTTTGTTTCTTTACCAATTTATTTTACCATTTTATACAAAATAGATGAATGCATAGTACCGCAAACAGAACAACGGTCAATGAGCAAAACATGACGACCGAGGCAACTTTCATTTCGGGAAAAATAAGTTACTGAGTGCTAATTCTCAAATGCTCTTTATTGTCCTCATATCTGTTTCACAGATTTACATTTTTTTTCAAACTTTCACCTTCTTAGTTTGAAATAGCCAAATTTTCAAGAAACACCCCTGTTAATGCAATATGAATGTTCCTATGATTTTCTTCAAAGAAACGTTTCTTAGTAAAATTAACTGATTAAGATTGAAGTAGTATGCAATGAGACTAGCAGTCTATTTAACTATAGGATTGATGATGAAATCTAAAAATTCTAGAAGTAAAATTCGGCAAGAACAAAATTTTTTTAATGTAATCTATAAAAACATAATATACAATTAACATTCAAAAATGACAGCTAATCAATTGTAACTATGCGTATAAACATTGACTACTGATCTGGTTACCGCCTTATTATCTGATGTGAAACCTTACACAGGATCGATTATATATATATATATATATATATATATATATATATATATATATATATATATATATATATATATATATGCGAAAGTAAATGTAACTTTGACCCAGCCTGATATACTAATGGCATTTACATGTAAATTACTTCCAAGCCATCTTTTTGATTATTTTTCTTTACAATCATTACTCCTGATGTATACATTAGCAATGTTTTCAACTTTCCAGAATAATTTCAGAATAAGTTGTTTTTCAGCTTTCATCAACGCCACACTTAATTGACTCAAGTAATCAGTCTTCAAATTCACGAGCGTATATTAGACCCTAAATTTCAGTATAGTTCTTTCTTTATATTTATCAGAAATCAAAACAAATAGTGCTTTTACTTTATTATGACTCCATGGTCAACCATAGTTGTTTAAAAATACGTATACTTCTCTTGATTTTTCTTTCATACTCATTTTTAAAATGGACATGTATATGCAATAAACTGTTCTTGTACTTGGTTGACGAGACATCTTATTTTCAATCCACTTATTTTGCTGATAAAGTATGGTGTTGATCTAACAACTAGATCTCGTTCAATGTTATAATCCTTGTGTGTAACCAGAAGTGTTAGACATCATTGTATAACCACATAATGCACCTAGTAATCAGAGATGATGTCCAGATAATGTAAAGGCTTTTATCTCTTTCAGAGATTTAAAATGAAGTGTAATATGGTTTACGCTTTCTGTGTTGCATTCCAGAAACTTTCATTTTCCATTGTGAATTTTGTGACCTATTTCTATGGAATGTGCTGCTACACCAGCTGTCCTCATCTTCCTTTGTTACTTAGCATATGATCGGAGAGCTAATTCATCTACTAAATCTCAATCACCCAGTCATATTCAAGGTATCCACTACATTCCGTGCTTTTCATGAGATCTAGGTGCCTTAACAATCCACTCAACAACTAGCGAAAATAAAAGAGCTGTCAGTAGGCAGCTTTGTTTTCAACTTATCATCATTTCAAATTGCAGTTGTGGGCCGCCGTTTAGTTTGTCATACGGGTTTCGTGTGAGGGTGACGAACCAATCAGGTACTCCGTAGTAATGAGGAAGATTTCGGGGATGATTAAAATAAACTTAGTTTGTAAAAACGTTTTTTCCTCATTTTTAATTTTTCATGATTCTTCTCAACATATACAAACACTTAATTGATCAAAGTATTTTGCTTAAGTTGACTTTCAATTCACTTTTCCTATGTGTTACTAATTATCATGTGCTAAATACACATTTTTCATACACACCTCATTCTGACCTTGTTGGTTGCGAATTTTCAACCGTTTACCAACAATCTTTTCCACAAGTTTAGGCTCACATCATACAGCATATCCACCATCAATTGCACACGAAAACTTTCGATCTATATCTACCATCCCTTAAAATTATTATCCCCACATTATCATAATTCTGTATGAATATTTAGACTTGTGACCATGCACAATTCTGACAATAACAAGTAAACCATACATTTTTTATTTATTAGTTTTTGCCTTCTGTCAACGTATTCTTTATACACGTTTTGAAGTATTATCTAAGTAAAGATACTTTCATATTTGTATTGGTCCACAACAGATTCTCTAGGGTTTTTGTAACCATGTCTAATACCTGTATTCACCTGAAATGAATCTGTAAACTGCCCGTTCTCCATTGACGACTTTGTGGTGAAATCAGTCGTATGAATTCTGTATAATGTTCGCAACCGAAATGAAAAGCATTTTGTTGGACAGTATTGTCATTAATTTGTTTCTTTCTCATGTCTTGTTATTTAACCATTATTCACGTCTCTTTTAACCACAATTTATGTTCTTCAGTCTTCCGCATCTGAGCTTTTATAATGCAGCATTCGGTGAAAGCCTGCGATTTGTTGGGAACATTTTCATTGATCCTCAGGCATTGGATTCTTGTTTATTAACTCTTCCTTTTGTTGTCGAACAAGCTAGTCTGTGTTAGCACAGTCTGCACCGTTTTAGGTATTTTGTACTTTTGATATAATTTATTCTCTTTCTTAAGTTAGAACTGTTCAAATTGAACACGGAGATTGTGTTTTGGTATAATTTAATACGAGAAACTCAGAACGCTTTGTATGGTATACAGAAGAACGTAGTCTGACTCGATCTGATAAATTTGGATTCGTTATTCCTGTGTTCAATCGGATATTGGCATTTCGGTTGTTACAGTCATGACGATGTTTTTAGGTACACCATATTGGCAAAGAAGGTTTCATTAAGTTATCTTACCCAAGCTGTCAAATGCTTTCCCACAGTCCAGTAAGATGATGTATAATGACCAACTATGGTGACATGTATATGCAGTGAGGTTTGTAAATACAAAAAAGACCTTATTTGTTGTTTATTTGTGACACTAAGTATAACCATATTTATATGTGAAACCTATTGATTATCTGCATCAACTGTGAAACGGACACCATAAATTGTCTATTTTAACACACATTCTACTGTCAGTATGCAAATAAATTCTATCTCCGTCGTCTTTTCTTTTGCTTTAATAGTCATGGCCTGTGACTAAAGATTATAATAGTATTATAACGTCCCCTTAGCACTCTCTACATTATGTGTGACATTTAACCTGAATTATTATTGATATCTAAGAATGCTATCGGATTTATATTTCGTTTCACACAATCGGTGCAAACCATACAGATGAACCTTTGTTAAATAGGTGAACTCTGGTTGTGGCTTTTATCCCAGAAAAAGGGAACTGGCAACGTTCATTTCATAACGGTTGTTATTATTTTTGTTATTTAACATACTTTTCAGAAGGGGTATGTGTATATGATAGAAATTTCAGTGGTTAAGATCATGAGTCAATTGAAGCTAGACCACCATGGAATACTTGGAAGCACTGGAAGGCCGTTTTGTCCTATTGCGGGATTTCTGAGCGGTGCACGTCCACGATCCCTACTCGCGAGATTCGAACGCAGGCCCTATCGGTTTCGCGCGCGGACGCTTAAACTCTAGACCACTAAGCCGGTATCCAGCGGTGTTAATGTCTAACTTCAACTAATCCACTAAATTGAGTGACGTATTCACCATTGTCTTCAGTGGGCTACTATCTCACAACAGACCCGGTGGAACTCCACTGGTCACTGCTTCTTACCAGTTTCCAAGCCAATCATTGGTATAGACCTGATAAAACGTCATAATTTACTCATGGACACTCTCATATAGAGATTAGTAGATGGAAACACCAATTTATTTGTTCGTGTAACTTCTTCCGGTTTTAGGATATCCCTAGTCATAGTAAGACACAAGATAAGTACCCCGAGCTATACTGTAGCGGTAAATAAATCCCCAAAATAAATAGCTCTGTAGGTTTTCGACATTAGATGCTGACCACAGTCTTAGTGGACTCATCTAG